ATTTGAAGTGACACAGCACTGAAAAAAAGTGACTTTTTCACACTTAACGACGTTTGCAGCATCCCCATGGTCGCATAATCAGAATTCGGATGCTTGGCAATTGGTTCATACTTATGACGGTAGCCATGTCCCAGGGTCATTTGATCAGCAAAAGTCAATGGGGAAGCCAGGTTCGCTTTACAACTGTGTTGCTGACTTAAGAACTGCAGTGATTCGTTTAACATCTGCAGCAAGAACAGTTGTAAAATGGGGCAAAACCCACTTAACTGTCTCGCTTAGCAACGGAAATGTTCGGCTGAATTGGGGCCGTTAACTGTAAACGTTGCACAGATAGTATTTAGCCTGTGAAAAGGAAGTGAAGGCTGGTTCCCATAGCTCTGGAAGGACAGAAACTGGCAGTTTGATCCAATTTCTCCCTTATGAAGATGAAGGCTCCAAAAGAGAGACTAAGGCAGGGGTGGGGAACCTTGGCTCTTTTATGACTGGTGGACTCCAACTCCCAGAATTCCTGAGCCAGCACTGCTGGCTCAGGAATTCTAAGAGTTGAAGTCCACAAGTCATAAAAGAGCCAAGGTTCCCCACCCCAATGGCTCTCCTGCCATTAAAAGGAACGATACCCATGTGTGAAATGGTTGTATCTGAAGCTCCTTGCATGTGAAGGGTGCCCATGCTGGATCAGAAATATTTTTGTCCAGGTTAACCAGACACTGTGCTCCCAGCTATGTCTACTCCAAAAGAAGCAAATCAACAACAACAACAATTTAACAAAAAGCACAACACAAACCTACCTGGTTTCCTTAAATCACGTCCACAATTTTAATCCCATAGAGTTTCTTGGATTAATGTATTTATTTTTAACACGTAACACGAAACAGCATCTTGGTTAATTGAAAACGTAATTGTATTAACAAGCCCTTTAGGATTATGGTCTTCATAGGAAGCATACAATTTTTCAGAGATGCATTTCCCCATCCTTTTATTAACCCATGTAAACAGCATGTCAAAAATCATTTGCGACATTTATACCGCGCTTTCCTTCCAGTCATTACCCAGCTTTAAACAAAGCTTGTGCAGTGGTATGGTGAGAGTGTCCACTTGAGCTGGAGGGTAAATACAGGCAGACCTCAACTTATGACCATTCGTTTCACAGCCATTCAAAATTATGATGGCATTGAAAAAAGTTACTTATAACCAGTCCTCACACTTACGGCCATTGCTGCATACCTGTGGTCACGTGATCAAAACTCGGTTGCTTAACAACTGTCATGTGTTTACATTGCCATTTGCAACCCTCTCAGGGGGCTTCCAAGAAGCCAAATCCTTGCTTAATGACCATGGCAAAAAAAGTTATAAATCAGGCATGGCTCACTTAACAATGATACTGCTTAGCAACAGATTGTGGTTTGTAGAGGAATTTGCACGTGCAGCAAACTGCCATGCATTGCCCCCCACAAACCTCATAACCTTTTGATACCCCTTGTCCCAAGGAAGCAGCCAAAAGAACACCCCCTTTTGACTTAATATCTTACCCACCTAAATAAATAATATGCTTTAAGTTCCCCCTTATCTCTTCCTGTCTTTATCTCTTCTTGTCTTTATCAGTTCTTTCTCCTTTTCTAATTTACCTGTATTTGTTTTTACCTGCTCTCAACAGGTAATGTGTTACTAGAAAATAATTGCTTATATGAAGGAATTTTTCAATTACCTTATGTCAACAACTAAAGGTTAAACTTCTAAATGTAAAATGTCAGCAGTTAATGGTAAAGCCTATGTATGTAAAAACTATATAAGAAACAATAAACTCAGAGTTAAAGAAGCTGTGTGAAGATGTGTCATGCAGCTTCAAACCTCTGCCCAAGACATGCCTGAGTCTTTTTCTTAGCATCGTTACAGTGGTTGCTAATTGTGGTCGTAAATTGAGGACTACCTGTATAGAATTCCCTAGATCCAATCTAATATTTTACCTTGTTCACCGTATCACATTTCTTGTAGCATCCCAGTTAACCATCTGGACACAAACCAAGTTTGATCAATACACTTACTTGGTCCCCCACCCACCTGCCTTCCATTGTCCGCTTGTTTTCAATTTCCCATTCAAACATCTGCTTACAGTATAACTGAGTATCGTAAAATGTAGATTGCTTTCCACGGTTCTCCAGTTCATCCAGCAGCACAAAGCGGATAAATATTTCAAGATCGAAGGCAGCAGCACAGTCTCTTTACAGCTGTTTTTTTGGGGAGAACAGAAATGATTTTTTTCCCACCCTCTGAGTTTGAATGTCTCAAGTCTGTGTTTGAAGTTTAAGTCCAACGTTAAGCAACAGACTTGAACTAGAGCCTAGCCCTTGAATTTCTGGCAATATTTCATTTGAAAATATTGTGTTATTAGTGCTTATTGTTAGAAACCGAGGCAATGTTCAAACCAAAATATGTCTCCTGGCAGTTTGTTGTTGCACTGAAGGCAATTGTCATCCAAATTGGAGCATCAGTGATCTGTTAATAATAGGTGCTTTTCACACAAGTAAATTAATTCTAAAAGAGTTGTAATTTTAAGAAGAATATTTCAACCCACTTATTTCTTAGGGTAGGTGGGTGAAAGGAACACCAACCTGTTTCTCAAAGAGGTCATTGTGTCAACTGTCCCACTCAGTCATCTAGCAAAGAAAAAGAAAGCAAGCACAACTGGTCACAAAGCTCTCAATGTCTCTTTTCATGTGCAGCCACCAGAACGGGCGTTTCACAAGATGGAAGTCCAAAACGCCCTGCAGTCTTAGTGTCGTTGCTTTGTGAGGGCTGATGTGGCCGTTTGTGACTGCAAGACACGCTGACTTCCAAATGTGTAACAGGGCACCTTTTATGAAGTGAGAAGGCCATCCCATTAACCCCGGTGAAGGGTTGATGTCGTAGTGTTTTGCCCACATACATCCCAATTTTTAAATGCTTTTCACAAGATTGTGATGTCCAGTGAGATAATAACCGAGTCCCTTGTTCTGCCATTTCTATGAACGTCTTGACTTTTGCAGAAGCGGAAACTGAACATTGTCTGGAAGTTACTAGTTGATGCAAAGTCTCTCAACCAACCGTCTATGGAGATTCTCAGTCATCCAGGTCATAGTTATCCCAAAGATGCTTTTTCACGAGGCAACTGGACTTTCTTGTTTTTCTTTGAAGACGTTTCGCTTCTCATCGAAGAAGCTTCTTCAGCTTCTTCAGCGCTGAAGAAGCTTCTTGGATGAGAAGTGAAACATCTTCAAAGAAAAACAAGGAAGTCCAGTTGCCTCGTAAAATAGCATCTTTGGGATCTCTCAACCAGCCTTGTTCTGTTTTGTTTTGTTGCTTAAATACAAAACTGTGAAGCAATGGCAAGGAGAGTAAATAAATGTTTCTTGCAGAGCAGTGGGGAAGAGAGCTATCTGTGTCCACAAGCTCCATTTAATTCTTCCAGTTAAAGCGACAGGTTCAGATTGCTCTTGGCCCATATCAAGCTAACAAAAATATCGTTTATCACTTTGTCCCTTTGCTTTTATCAAGCCAGCATTGTTGATCCTCATATTTTAAGTTCTTAGAGGTAATGAACACTCTTCTGATTACTCTCTTCTCAGGTGCCCTGCACATTGTGTATAAAGTAAACAAACAAACAAAAAAAAAACTTCCAAAACTTGAGTCCATTTTGGGGTGCGATATTTTAAGAAGGATGTAGCAAATTGGGACCAGAACAACAGAGTTGGAAGGCATCTTGGGGGTCTTCTAATCCAACCCCCACTCGGGCAGAAAACCCTATATCACTTCAGACAAATGGCTGTCTAATCTCTTCTTTTAAAAACTCCAGTGTTGGAGCACCCACCACTTCTGGAGGCAAGCCACTCCACTGGTTGATTGTTCTCACCGTCAGGAAATTTCTCCATAGTTCTAGGTTGCTTCTCTCCTTAATTAGCTTCCATCCGTTGCTTCTTGTCCTGCCTTCAGGTGCTCTGGAGAATAGGTTGACCCCCTCTTATTTGTGGCAGCCCCAGATCAAGTGGAGGGCAAAGGAGTCAGGACGAAGTGTGGAAATAGGTCCTGTAAGGAACAGCTGAAAGAAATGTCGATCTTGAGTTTGGAGTAGAAGAAGATAATACGGACAGGAACGGCTGGATAAGCATTCTTCAAATCCCTGAAGAAGGCAAATACTCACTTTCTCTTTGCCCAGAAGACATGACTTCAGGAGTTAAAGTTACAGGGGCGAGCCTGTTTGGAATAGTAGTTGAATGCATCAGGTTGAGAACTAGGAGACTAGGAGTTCTGGTTCTGCTTTAGGCAAGAAGCTAGCTGAGTCACTCTAAAATAGACATTTTCTTTTTTTTAAGAGCTGGGGGCCATAATATACACATAATGTTCAGATGCGTAAGAGCCATTCTGTCCAGGATAACGATGTGAAGGGGATGACACCAGATCACACCCTGGCAGAATGAAAATATTCTTATTTTTCTGAATTTGGGGGAAGCAATGAAGGATTTTTCCCTGGTTATATTTGGTGAGTTCCCTTGCAGGACCAATATTTGACCATCTGCAGGTCACAGAGTTCAAATGCAGTTCAAACGCACTCTGCAGAGTGAAGACAGGTCCAGAACTATTTCATGTGGAGAAATCGCTTTTCTGTGGGCGGACGGTTTTGCTGCAGTTCCTTGCTCTTGGAAGGAGACAAAATTTGGGCCTACCAACAAGAAAATAATTCAGAGAAGCAACAGTGACGGCATCTATTTATTGGTTAGAGCAGTGGTTCTCAACCTTTTTAATGCCGGGACCCCCAACCGGTTGTAAGTCGAGGATTACTCAACCGGTCGTAAGTCGAGGACTACTCAACCGGTGCAGCACCGTTTGCAGAATGGGACTTTTGGTGGGCTCAGCAGGGCAGAGACAGCCTGGACAATTCCTATTGGCTTTTGAAAGCCAATAGAATTAGACTCTATTCAAGAGAGTCTATTCTATTGGCTTTCAAAAGCCAATAGAATAAAAGGGAGTAGCACAGCTAAGGAAAAGGGGAAAAAAAATGGCGGACTGCGTTGTTTGGCGACCCCCGTCAAATGGTCGTTCGACCCCAAATGGGGTCCCAACCCACAGGTTGAGAACCACTGGGTTAGAGGGTGCATCTGGAGGCTGCCGTTCCTTAATGTATTCCATCTGGCTCACAAACAGTTGGGAAAGTCACTGAATTCTTAGAGAAGCATCTTATACTTCTGGGTATCCACAGTTCAAAGTTATTCGTTGAATGGAAAGACTGCAGCAGCTTTAGAGCAAATACTCTGAGTGCAGAAAGCCTCAAATTCAAAGACGGCGCCTGCAGTTAAAAGGATCTTATGTAGCAATAGAAGAAAAGTTCTTTCTCCCCCTGCTTCTCCCTGAATTATTACTATGGGATTTCAAATAGAAAAGAACAAATAAGCTTGCTGCCTTCTGATAGATTTGCCTTCTAGGGAGCCACCCAGAATATTTATACAATAGAAATAGTTTGAAATATACATACATACATACATACATACATATTCATCTGATTTCTAAACTACCTGGCTCCCATACAAATGCATCTATTCTTATCCTTTTGCTGTATGCTTGTGTGTACAAAGACACACACACACACACACACAGAGCAAAGATAATAAAAAACATGGATTTCTCTGCAAAACAAGACAAACTGCTCTTCAGCTGCCTACCCTTAGTGCCTTCCCCAGTCTGGTGCTCTCCCCCCAAAATTGGATCATAGCTTCCATCATCCCTGGCTGAAGATGATGGGAGCAGGAATCCCATACAACCAGAAGGTGCCAGGTTGCAGAAGATATCCCCACAGCACTTTCTTGTAATCTCTATTAGCTTTCTGAATTGCTCTCTCAATCTGGCTGGTGGCCTTTGACGGTCATTGTTAGAATTTGGTCTATTGGTGGCGATGACAGACTTTATACTCCTTGAGTTGGTGACAAGAGCAGCATGCTGGTGTTTCGTAGCATTAGGTTTTGCAGCCGGAACCGTTAAGTATCACCACCGGGGCTGCGGGACTCTCGTTCTGGAAGCCTTCGAGCTTCTCGACCTTGGCTAAAGGGTTGTTTATGGCCATGGCTTCTTCTGTATCAGTCTCCATTTTCTCCTCCTCGTAAAGGTTCTCTGGGAGAAAGAGGTCATTCTCTGCTGAGGGAGCTGCGCTGTCCTCTTTGGTAGCATCTTGATGGCGCTCATTTCTGCATCCCTCGTGGTGGCTGTGGTTGCCGAGACGGCTGGAGGCAACCACTGCTTTCACGGCAGCCTGTGTATGTTGGACATGACATGACAGAGAATGACATTGGTTTGAACGTATGTGTCTATTATTATAAAGGAGCTTGTAAAAGGAATGTTGCTGGCGAGAGCTGTTAATCTCCTTGGCTAGCAGGGTTTTATATATTTTATATCTATGTTATATACATAGTTTGGTCTAGTATAGAGGTAGGCAGCCTGGGCTCTTTTATGACTCGTGGACTTCAACTCCCAGAATTCCTGAGCCAGTCGTGCTGAGGGGAAAGGGAGAGGTTTCTAAGCTGAGCCATACTGGCTCAGGAATTCTGGGAGTTGAAGTCCACGAGTCATAAAAGAGCCAAGGCTGCCTACCCCTGGTTTAGTAATTAAGGCGCCAGGCTAGAAACCTGGAGGCTGTGAATTCTAGTCCTGCCTTAGACATGAAAGCCAGCTGGGGTACTTTCGGCCAACCACCGGGAGACAGTGAGCTCTAGTCCCACCTTAGGCATGAAAGCTAGCTAGGTGATCAGGGCCCAATTGCCAGGAGATGGTGAGTTCTGTCTCTCTTTAGGCACGAAATCCAACTGGGTGACTTTGGGTCAGCTACTCTCTCTCAGCCCAACCTAATTCACAAGAGTGTTGTGGGGGGGAAAGGAGGAAGAAAAAAGTATTAGATATTTTTTCCACTAAGTTGTATTTTATAAAAATAACGAAAAGCAGGCTATAAATTAAATAAATACATACATATTATTGGCTGTTTTTAACCGAGTTTTAATTCTTAGACACCCTGAGTTGCCCCTCTGGGTGAGAGACAGGACTACACAGGCAGTCCTGATTTAATATCCACCCATTCAGCAACTATTTAAAGTTATGATGCTGCTGAATGAGGGATGAGGGTGAGGGACGTCAGAGCCCCAGAGAAGGAAATATTAAAAAGGCAGAAAAATATTTTTCCTCAAAAGGATTTTTAAAAGCAGAAACCAAACCTGGCCCCAAATCTCTCTGCCCCCAAGCAGTAGCCAGCCCTATACAAATGAAAATGTAAAACCATCAGAAAGTTGGAGCCAGAGAACTCAAGAAGACAAAGAGACTTAAAATCTGCATACCCCACCCAAACTCTAGGAGTCATTAGCCCCATCACCAGGGAAGCAGGATATGACCTTTGGGACATAATAGGACTAACCCATTACCATCAAGTATACCAGAGAGGCACACCTAAACTCAGGTCAGAATATGTGACACAGGAAATAGCCTCAAAGTTCATGCCACAGGAACAGGAAACTTCCAAACAAAAGGCTAGAGAGGGTATAAAAACCCCTTGCCTATGTGCTCAGCCCCTCTCTCCTCTGCTCTTTCCTGCAAGAACCATCTTTCTGCTTCTTCAATAAACTGTAACCATCTTCCCAAAGCAGTCGCCATGTTGCTTATTTATTCCCGGCTTGGATGAACCAGGATGAAGACTTTACTTCCAACAATTGGTTCTCCTAGTTGGGCCATCCCCACGGTCACATATTCACTATCTGGATGCTTGGCAACTGGCTCACAACTATGATATCACAGCATCCCATAGTCATGTGATCACCATTTGTAGCCTTCCCTGCCAGCCTCTGACAAACAAAGTCAATGAAGAAGCCAACAGGAGGTTGAAAATAGCTGCTGTGTGACTGTGAATAATGAATGGTACATGGGAATGATCTTGAGGGATGAGGGGGAAAGGATGCTGTTTAGAGGATGATCAGACAAGAAGGAGAGGAGCCCCCAGTGGCTTAATGGTCAGAAAAAAAGAGTTAGGAAGGACCCATCCTAATGGATCAAACATTTAAAAGTGATGGTGGGAAATTTGTATTTTCAGACTTGCAAGATTGATGTCAGCCCGTCCACTTAAACCAGACCAGGAAATGTAACCAGATGAGCTAATTCTACTTAATTGTAAGGTTACATTGTCAAAATCTTGCAGGTCTGAAACTACAGATCTCCTCCCATCTCTTTTAACTGTGGGATCAGTTAGGGCAGAGTCCTGCCTTAGTTCCTTTCTCTGACTGTTAAGTAACTGATGGCTCCCCCTTCTTTTATCTGATTGTTTCCTGGACAGCATCTCTTCCCCTCATCCCTGGAGGTCATATATACCATGGGACGCTAAATTTAATACTGAAGCTCAAATCCTGTATGTTAAAAAGTTAAAGAAGAAGATGTACTAGAGCAGTGTTTCTCAACCTTGACAATTTTAAGGCATGTGGACTTCAACTCCCAGAATTCCACAGCCAGCATTGCTGGCTGTGGAATTCTGGGAGTTGAAGTCCACATGCCTTAAAATTGTCAAGGTTGAGAAACACTGTACTAGAAAGTTTTAATTTTAGAAATGTGTTTAAAGGAAAGTTTAGCATTTTTTTAAAAATGCTGTAAGATCAAATGCTGTAAGGTCAAAGAATCTGAAAGAATACAGTGAACCTTGTTAATAAAAATGGTGATAGTTCAGAAAGATTATTAGGTGCAAACAGAAATTTCCATAGCAAGGAAGATAAAGCAGGAATGGTTAAATTGATTCATTTTATTCCAAGAGGAGAATATATTTTAAGTACGTTTTTCACTTGGCTATATCACTTCTGGATTTTGTGCTTGTGATGAAAAAATATGTGAAATTTTGACTTTGGTTTTGTCGATTGGATAGATTTGTCGTTATAGAAATGTCTAGTTATATACTAATGTGTAAAAGCAAAACGTTGAGGCTGGAGTGTTTTTATCTTGTGCTGTGCTAAAGAGAATCGGAAGTCTGGGCTTTTTCTTTCTTTTTTTCCCTTGTACCTCACCTTTTCTTTTTCCCCTCTCTTTTTCCTCCCCCTAATTTCTTATTTTTATTTTTCTTTGTATTTTATATATTACATAAATAAATAAATAAACATTAAAAAAAAAAACACCACAGGACGCTGGGCCTGTATGGGATTTACCTAACAACAGCACTGGGACTGCCAGAACTGCCACTGTTAAGTCGGCATGGAAACGTGACATCACGCCTTATGATTGCATTGCTTAGCAATGGAGTTCCTGGTTCCAATTACTGTCGGTCACTGAGGACTACTTGTATACATTTATTTTAATTAATTACATGAATTCATTCTCATCGGCACCGTGTTCTCTAATACTAAGCGCAGGTGGCTGAGTGCCAACGGAATAAAAACGTGGAAGAGTGAAGTAAAAGCCACAATTGGATCACGGTTACAAACATCTGGCAGGCATTGTTAAGACCTCCGAGGCAAGAGACCCCCATCCACCAAAGCCTGCCATTGGCTGCAGGTGTTTCTGTCTCAGAAGAATCACACACTTAACATTTTCTGCACAAGGGGAAAACTTCAGGCCCTCTATTTACCTCAGAGATGTCATCCCAGGGTTTAAAATCACCCTCCTTCCAAAAGAGAAGATTAAGGGACGAGAACCGTCACTCTGTTCCTGTATGATTCTAAGTCGGGAGAGTTGTAAAATGGGTCGGTCGCGTGTCTGATCCGATTTTATGACTTTTGCAGTGGTGATTAAGCAAACCGATGGTTGGCTGTGGGCGTGGTTTGGCTGAAAGCAAGTGCTGGTTTATGGCAAAACCGTCGTGAAAGATGGTCACAACTAGATTTTGACCCACCCCCGCCCCCATCATTGGTCCTGGGGGGGGGTAAACTTACCTCCCTCAGTGCAGGCACGCAACTTGGGTGTCCTCCTGGACTCATAGCTAAATTTGGAACAACATTTATCAGCTGTGGCCAGGAGGACCTTTGCCCAGGTTCGCCTGGTGCACCAGTTGCGGCCTTATTTCGACCGGGAGGCTCTACTCACGGTTACTCATGCCCTTGTCACCTCAAGACTGGATTATTGTAATGCGCTCTACATGGGGCTATCCTTGAAGAGCGTTCGGAGGCTGCAGTTGGTTCAGAATGCAGCTGCGAGAGTGATTGTGGGTGCATCAAGGTACACCCACGTGTCACCTATCCTCCGTGAGCTGCACTGGCTTCCTGTGGGTCTCCGGACGCAATTCAAGGTGTTGGTTATCACCTTTAAAGCCCTTCATGGCTTAGGACCAGGTTACTTACAGGACCGCATACTGCCACATAGTTCCCAGAGACTGGTGAGGTCCCACAGATTGGGCCTCCTTCAGGTCCCGTCGGCCAAACAATGTCGGCTGGCGGGTCCTCGGGGAAGGGCCTTTTCTGTGGTGGCTCCGACGTGGTGGAATCAACTTCCCCCCGAGATTCGAACTACTCCCACCTTGCCGGCCTTCAAGAAAGCCATTAAAACTTTCCTGTTCCGGCAGGCCTGGGGTTGATGTCCCCGGGGGGGGGGGGCGGGACACGATTGGGACACGTTGTATGAATGCACTCATTTTATTGTTATATTTATTGTTTTAATTTTGTACGCCGCCCTGAGTCCCTAGGGATTGGGCGGCATATAAATTTTATTAATAAATAAATAAATAAATAAACTGTACTATGCTACTTTGGGATGACTTGCCGTGCACCCTCATTCTGAGCCTCTGGCATTGAGCTTGGGCCCCTAGTTCCCCGGCCGCGTGTGGGACCCCAGACAGGAGGGCAGACCTCAGACAGGAGGGCAGAGTCCCCAGAATCTTACCTTTAACTTTCTCCTGGCATTAAACTCCTGCAGTTTCTTCTGAGTGCTGTCCATATGTGCAAACTTTGCAGTTTTGCCAGTCACCCAAGGGTGCTCTAGAGCTTGATGAACTGTTAGCCTCTTCTGGGGATCCAGGACAATCAGCTTTTGCACCTGCAAAGGCCACAGACGGATCTAGTGTGACCCACTCCAGGGTCATAACAAATATCCACCTAAAGTAGCCCCCACTGTGGACCGGCACTGGGCCACATACCCGCAACCGGGCAAAGCCCTATTCGTGTGATGCAGGCAGCGCCCAACGCCCCCCTCCGGTCCGCAGAAAAACCTTTCTCCATGGAATCAGTCTCTGGTGCCCAAAAGTTTGGGGGCTGCTGAAATGGGTGGCAAATAAAATTAACAAATAATAATGGATATAAATGGCATGGGTCCAGGCTATCTGAGGAATCGTCTCGCCCCATGGGACTGTCCTGTCCCACTGTCAGGAATTCCGGTGGGCAGGCTCCAGGAGCAGAGCCTTTTCTGCCGTGGCCCCCACCTTTTGGGATATTCTGCCTCCAGAGCTGAGGTCCACCCCCAGTCTCTTGGCCTTCTGGAAGGGCTTTAATGCCTGGCTGTTCGGTGGCCCCAATGGGTTGCACTATACTGGGGGTGGCTGATGAAGTACAGAGAGAACCCCACGCCCACGATGACTGTCCTCTTGGTTTTTAGTTTCTATTTAACCCTTGTTAATTTTAATTGTTTCCATATTGGTCTTTTTTGTAAGCCGCCCAGAGCAGCTTCAATAGTGTGAGGGATGGCATCGAAATTTAATCAATAAATAAAACTGTGCTAATTGAGGGTGTCTGGCAGACGAGGGGATGTTGGAAAAGTCAAAATGCTGGCCCTCGCTGTGCAGTCCAAACCTTATCTCTTATACAGGGGTCTTCAAACGTGGCCCTTTTATGACTTGTGGACTTCAACTCCCAGAATTCCTCAGCCAGGCATGCTGGCTGAGGAATTCTGGGAGTTGAAGTCCACAAGTCATAAAAGGGCCAAGTCTGAAGACCCCTGAAGTCTTAGTATATCGGAGCAACAATGATCCAGTCTTAGAGCTAGGAACACATTTGATATTTGGAGATCATGTGTTCTTGCCCTAGCAGAAGGGATCAACTAGGAAAGTGTCCTCTTCACAAAAAAAGGGGGCCATGGGGTGGACTCAGCCAGTCAAGGCATTTGTACCAATAGAAGACAATATGTGTAGCTCAGATTCAAACTGTGGGGTCTTTGGTCCTCTCTGAGCTTGATTGTTTTCTTGCAGACATCTCATTATCAAACTAGATAACATCATCAGGGCTAGAGGGGCAAACTCCACTCCCTTCTAGCCCTGAAGAGTTAACTAGTTGGGTAATGAAATGTCTACAACAAAACAACCAAACTCAGAAAGCACCAAGGACCCAGCGACATGGAACCGTGTCCCATTGCTCTCTCCAACCCCAGTGAGCTCCAAGGATATCTCTACAGAAGAACGGAAGGTGAGTCTGCTACTTTCATTTGCAGGATGATGTTTGAGGGGACATGGTGCCTGAGGAACAGGGCTTCAAACCTTCACAGCAATAAGGAGCATTTAGGCTTATATACCACTCCATATATTACATCACTCTCTGGACCAGTGGTTCTCAACCTTTCTAATGCTGTGACCCCATAATACAGTTCCCCATGTTGTGGTGACCCCCAAGTGGGTGTGGCCACCAATAAGAGGGAGTAGGTCAGCTAGGGAAAAGGGAAAAAAATGGCGGACAACGTGGTTTGGTGACCCCCGTGAAATGGTCGTTTGATCCCAAATGGGGTCCCAACCCACAGGTTGAGAACCACTGCTCTGGACGGTTTACTATATAGAGCGGTAGGGACTTATGGCCCTTTTATGACGTGTGGACTTCAACTCCCAGAATTCCTGAACCAGCATGGAATTCTGGGAGTTGAAGTCCACAAGTGCCACAGTTCTCCAACCCTGAGGTAAAACATTATTTGCATGTTGCCTCCAACAATCAGGCTCCTCTTTTAACTGACTTCGGAAAGATGGAAGTCTGAGTCAACCTTGAACCTTGAATCAGGATCGAACTCCAGGTTGTGGGCAGAGTTTGCCTCCAATATTGCACTTTAACCACTGTGTCACCAAGAGCTCCTTTAGGCCTGCCGAGCGGATACAGAAAGCGGCCAGTCATCATCCATCAGGGCAGTGCTTGAAATACAGGAACTCACCAGGTCCTTGGCATTGAGGGACACTTCATCCCACCAAGGGGAGACAAACTCATAGTCACAATTTAGGATTCGGCTGTACATGTATTGGTCTCCTCTTGGGTCAAAGAAAGGCTCAAAGCCACACAGTCTGGAAAAGAATGGAAGAAACAAATGCCTATACCCTGGGGGTTTTATTTACTTATTGATATTCCGGCTTTATTATTTTTACAAATAAATCAAGATGGGCAAACGTATTCAACGCACCTTCCTCCTCCTATTTTCCCCACAATAACAACAACCCTGTGAGGTAGGTTAGGTTGAGAGAAAGTTACAATGACTCTGAAAAAAAGTGACTTATAACCATTTTTCACACTTACGACCACTGCAGCATCCCCACAGTCAAGGGACCAAAATTCGGACCCTTGGCAAGTGGTTCATACTTATGACGGTTGCAGTGTCCTGGGGTCATGTGATCACCTTTTGCGACCTTCTGACGTGCAAAGTCAAAGGGGAAGCTAGATTCTCTTAATAACCGCATGAAAAACTGGACAACGGCAGTGATTCACTTAACAACTGTGGCAAGAAAGGTCGTAAAATGGTGCAAAGCTCATTTAACAACTGTCTCACTTAGCAGCAGAAATTTTGGGCTCAATGATGGTCATAGGCTGAGGACTATCTGTATTTATTTTTTGATCATAAGTCAAGGATGACCTGTACTTGGGCTTTGTTTAGCTATCTTTTTTTTTTTTCTTCTTCTTGATGTATTTTGTTTTCTTTTGCCTTTTATCTGTGAATCGCGCTGAGTTATTACTGAGCCGGGCAGCCTTAAAAGTGCACCAATCAATGTGGGAAGAGCTTAATTCACTGAATAATAATAATAATAATAATAATAAAGCTGGAAGGGACCTTGGAGGTCATCTAGTCCAACCCCCTGCTCAGGCAGGAAACTCTATACGATTTCAGACAAATGGCTGTCCAGTTTCTTCTTTTCCTGTTCACTGGTTTCTTCTCCAATCTCTTCCCTGAGGCACTGTAGGGCCTGCACTTACATTGCAAAAGTAAAACTAAAGTCTTTTTTAGCATACACTGCCCCAAATATATAATTAAGGGCTTGCTTGTGTGTCGGCGTTCAACGCCACTTGCGATCAAACAACTGTCAGCAATATAGAAAAGTCACTGTAAAATATAGGCACGTAAGCTATCCTTAATAGTCGGATTACACAAGTTAAAAAATCATAACTTACAATAATATAAACACGGACAGGGTGTTCTTTCAATAAACTACAATTTTAAAAGACTTCTGGAAGAGCTCTGATTTAATGTGCTTCTGAAATGACAATAATGTGGAGGTTAATCTAGCTTCTCATTACCGAGAAACATTTCCTGCTGGCCTCAGTGCCCCTCATTTCATGGTTTGGGAGAACTACAAAGCATTGTTTCCTGAAGTGTTCTTATTGGGCTACTGATTCTTAGCTGAAGGAGGTGACCCTTCGGGCATATCAGTACCGAGCCAACTACAGTTTTATAGGTGAAAAAAATCCCCCACTTTAACTAGAAGCCTGTTAGCAACAGATTTATTAGACTCATGCAGCAATTATGATGTGAGGACCTTCTCCATGGCTCCTGGCTCTTCATCAGACAAATAATAATAATAATAATAATAATAATAGTAGTAGTAGTAATAATAATATAAAAAAGTTGGAAGGGACCTTGGAGGTCATCTAGTCCAACCCCCTGCTCAGGCAGGAAATCCTAAACCATTTCAGACAAATGGCTGTCCAATCTCTTCTTTAAAACTTGCAGTGTTGGAGCATTCACCGCTTCTGGAGGCAGGTTGTTCCACTGGTTAATGGTTCTAACTGTCAGGAAGTTTCTCCTTAGGTCCAGGTTGCTTCTCTCCTTGATGAGTTTCCATCCGTTGCTTCTTGTCCTGCCTTCAGGCGCTTTGGAGAATAGCTTGACTCCCTCTTCTTTGGGGCAGCCCCTGAGATATTGGAACACTACTTTCATGCCACCCCTCGTCTTTCTCTTCATTAAGCTAGACCACGGGTCGGCAACCCGCGGCTCCGGAGCCGCATGCGGCTCTTTGAGCCACCTCCTGCGGCTCCGGAGCCTTCTCCGCCATTTTCATAGAGAGAGAGACAGACAGAGACAGAGAGGCACTTGTGCTTCCCTTCTCTCTATCTCTCTCTCTCTCACACACATGCAGATTTGCCCCTTGCTCCCGATTGGCCCTGCAGCCAGATGCCCTGCCCCCTGGTGGCCAGGAAGGGCCTTTCCGGGGCTGGCCCAGTCCGAGGTGCATGTGGCCAGAGAGCCGCGCGGGGAAGCCCCAGGATCGATGCTGGGAGCGGCCCAGCAGAGCCTCCGTTGAAAGGGCCAGCCCTCCCGCAAGCTGCGGCCCTAGTGGGCCAAGCAGGAGCAGACCCGGAGATGGAGGGTGAGTGGGGAGGAGGGAGGGGGCTTACCTGCACCAGGCGGAGGGGCAGCCGAGCCGGCCTCGTGTCTCCCTGGGCTGGGCAGCAGGCCTGGCGGGGCCAGCGGCCGGCAGGGGCATTGGTTCCTGCCCTTCCCCGGGCCAGGCGGTAGGCCCAGCGGGGGCAGCAGCCGGCGGGGGCATCGGTTCCTGCCCCTCCCCGGGCCGCTGAGCCAGCCTCGCGTCGTCCCGGGCTGGGCGGCAGTGGCGGCCGGCAGAGGCATTGGTTTTTGGCCGTCCCCGGGCCGCTGAGCTGACTTCGCATCTTCCCGAGCTGGGCGGCAGGGGCATTGGTTTGTAGCCGTCCCCGGGCCGCTGAGCCGGCCTCGTGTCTCCCCGGGCGGCAGATGGCGGGGATATTGGTTTCTGGCCGTTCCCGGGGCGCTGAGCCTGCCTCGCGCCTCCCCGGGCTGGGCGGCAGTGGCGGCCGGCAGGGGCATTGGTTTTTGGCCGTCCCCAGGGCGCTGAGCCAGCCTCGCATCTTCCCGGGCCGTGCGGCAGGCGGCGGGGGCATTGGTTTGTAGCCGTCCCCGGGCCGCTGAGCCGGCCTCGTGTCTCCCCGGGCGGCAGATGGCGGGGATATTGGTTTCTGGCCGTCCCCGGGGCGCTGAGCCTGCCTCGCGCCTCCCCGGGCTGGGCGGCAGTGGTAGCCGGCAGGGGCATTGGTTTTTGGCCGTCCCCAGGGCGCTGAGCCAGCCTCGCATCTTCCCCGGCCGTGCGGCAGGCGGCGGGGGCATTGGCTTGTAGCCATCCCCAGGCCGCTGAGCAAGCCTCGCATCTTCCCGGGCTGGGCGGCAGTGGCGGCCGGCAGGGGCATTGGGTTTTGGCCGTCCCCGGGCCACTGAGCCAGCCTTGCATCTTCCCGGGCCGTGCGGCAGGCAGCGGGGGCAGTGGTTTGTAGCCGTCCCCGGGCCGCTGAGCCAGCCTTGTTTTTTCCCGGGCCAGGCAGCAAGTGGCGGGGACATTTGTTTGTAGCCGTCCCCGGGGCGCTGAGCCTGCCTCGCGTCTCCCCGGGCTGGGCGGCAGTGGCGGCCGGCAGGGGCATTGGATTTTGGCCGTCCCCGGGGCGCTGAGCCTGCCTCGCGTCTCCCCGGGCTGGGCGGCAGTGGCGGCCGGCAGGGGCATTGGGTTTTGGCCGTCCCCGGGCCACTGAGCCAGCCTTGCATCTTCCCGGGCCGTGCGGCAGGCGGCAGGGGCATTGGTTTGTAGCTGTCCCCGGGCCGCTGAGCCAGCCTTGTTTTTTCCTGGGCCAGGCAGCAAGTGGCGGGGACATTTGTTTGTAGCCGTCCCCGGGGCGCTGAGCCTGCCTCGTGTCTCCCCGGGCTGGGCGGCAGTGGCGGCCGGCAGGGGCATTGGATTTTGGCCGTCCCCGGGGCGCTGAGCCTGCCTCGCGTCTCCCCGGGCTGGGCGGCAGTGCGGCCGACAGGGGCATTGGGTTTTGGCCGTCCCCGGGGCGCTAAGCCTGCCTTGTGTTTCCCCAGGCCAGGCAGCAAGCCCGGCGGGCAGTGGGGGCATCGGTTCCTGCTCGTCCCCGGGCCGCTGAGCCGGTCAAATCAACGGACGTGGAGGTACTGCAGCGGGCTTTTTGATTCGCCGCAGACCTCCATTGACTTCCATGGGGATTCTTGGCAATGAATGGGGCTGATTGAAATCGCTTCAAGAAGCAAGCTGCAGAGACACAGAGAGCTGCAAATGATCTCCACAGGAGATGCAGCAAGGGCAGGAGACGAGAAAGAGTCCGCTATGTCTGTGCACAAGCCCCGAACGCTTTCTTCCTCTCCCTGCCTTTCTTGCTGGCCCTCTGATGTAAGCATCTGCTGGGTTTCCTCAACCTCCCCCCCCCCGTTTTATTTTAATCCCACCATCGCCTCCCTCTTTCGCAAAGTTGACATTCCTAGGACTCGTAGCTCGCTTCGCTTCTGGAGTCACTTGGCAAAGTTTGAAGGAGAGGCTGCCTGCTCCCACCTCCCACGGAGCAGAACTGCTGCTTCCTCACCTCCCAGCGAAAGAACCCCAGAGAGCTGGAAGGCGTCCTTTCTCCCACTTTCCGCTTCCCATCCTCCCTTTTCCAAGCACCCCTCCCAGAGCAAACCAGAAGCCTCAACTCCAGCCTCCTGCAGCAGGCTGAGATAGGCGAGCCCGAGCGACCGTCTTCTGCTGCCTCAGAACATTCACTGCAGCAGCTCTTTCTCTCCGTCGGCTTCCTCCTCCGCTCCCTGGGAACCTTCGCGCCAAAAGGCAGCAAGAAGAAAGTCCCAGAGAGGGAGAGCGCGGGGTGAGGGGAGAGCAGTCTTTTCCGAAGGGAAGAGAAGCCAGGACTGCAGAGCCCGTTCATACCAGAGCTGGATGGGGGGCAGGGCAGGCGCACGTTTTGCCTTAAGCTCCTCTCTTCAATCAAGCCCTGTGTTCTGTGCGCATGCGCGTGCGCGCGCGTGTGCGCGCGCACATTTTGCGGCTCCCAGGATTTTTTTTTTGTGAGGGAAATGGATCCAAGTGGCTCTTTCACTGTTGCAGGTTGCTGACCCCTGAGCTAGACATACCCAATTCCAGCAACTGTTCCTTCTATGTTTTAGCCTCCAGTCCCCTAATCATCTTAGTTGCTCTTTTCTGCATTCTTTTTAGAGTTTCAACATCTTTTTTACATTGTGGTGACCACAACTGGATGCAGTATTCCAAGTGTGGCCTTACCAAGGCCTTGTAAAGTGGTATTAATACTTCATGTGATCTTGATTCTATCCCTCTGTTAATGCAGCCTAGCACTGTGTTGGCTTTTTTGGCAGCTGCAGCACACGGCTGGCTCTTATTTAAATTATAGTCCACAGTCTTTCTGAATGGCATAAAATTATATGGCCAATCTGCTAGCAGGTGGTGGTGTCCATATTTGCCCTGTACAGGGCAACAGTAAGGAAAGAAACTATACAGGTAGCCCCTGACATATGACCTCAAGGAAGCCCAAAATTTGCATTGCTATGCTTGACTATTGTTGAGTGAATTGCGACGCATTTTATGACCTTTTTTTACCCTAGCTGTTAAGCGAATCACTGCAGTTGTTAAGTGACTCATGTGGTTGTTAAGTGAATCCGGCTTTCCCCCATTGATTTTGCTTGTCGGAAGCCGGCTGGAAAGGTTACCAATGGACAGGGATAGGCAATCTTGGCTCTTTTATGACTCGTGGACTTCCAGAATTCCTGAGCCAGAATAGCTCAGCATGGAAACCTCTCCATTTCTCCTCAGCATGGCTGGCTAAGGAATTCTGGGAGTTGAAGTCCACAAGTCATAAAAGAGCCAATGTTGCCTATCCCTGCCCCTGACTAGGGACACTGCAACCATCATAAATTACATGTCAGTTGCCAAATGCCTGAATTTTGATCACATGACCGTGGGAATGGTGCAAAGTTTATGTCACTTTTTTCAGTTACCAGAACAACCTGTGATCTGGAACAAGCTCCCTCTTGACATTCTTACACTTTTGCCTATTCCTTTTTTTTTTTTTTTTTTTTGGCAATACGCTGAAAGCAAATAAAAAAGAAAACAGTTATGCCTATCAGCGTGTGCGTGTGCGTGTGCGTGTGGGAAGTCAGAAGTCAGCATTTTGTGGTTTTACTTGGAGAGAGAAATAAACAACGGCGAGTGGGAAGGAAAGAAATGGTGGCTGAAAGGATCTAATTTATTTTTAAGCTGGAAGCAGAGAACAGCAGAAATTAGGAGTGGGTGAGAATCACCCCCTCCCTCCAAAAACAAAAACCCAGAATAAGAAGAGGCACATTTCACATCATGCTCATTTGCTGGGCCGTGCTTGAAAGGAAGAGAGTGCGAGGGAGCAAATCACAGCGACAGGAGTTTTGTGTCAAAGTATTTTAGCATTACTCACAAAATGTATGTTATGACGCCTACAGACCACATATCCACTTCAGGGCCATATGGTGAGCCATGGAGAATTTCGGGTGCTGAAGGCATTTGAAAAATAAAGGAAAGACAGGAGAGGGGGGGAGGGGGAGGGAGAGGGGAGGAAAGGGGGGGAGAGAGAGGGAGAGGGGGAGAGAGGGAGGGAGAGAGGAAGGGAGAGGGGGGAGAGAGAGGGAGAGTGATGGAGAAAGAGAGGGAGAGTGAGGGAGAGGGGGAGAGGGAGAGAGAGGGAGGGAGGGGGAGAGGAAGGGAGAGGGAGAGGGGAGAGGGAGGGAGGGAGAGAGAGAGAGAGAGAGAGAGAGTAAGTGTTGGCAGACATATCTTTGCTTCCATTTTTTCCCGCCTTCTCCCGCTATGCTGTCTTCTCTGCTCATCCCCTAAGCACAAACGTTGAACACTCACACTCCTTCACGGATGATTGGCAATTTTCTTGGAAGTTTTCCAACCTGACACTTGCTATCACTTCCACTTTTGCAAACTCATGGGGAAGGAAAAGAGAGCTGCATGTTATTATTTTCCCATTCTTCCCTGGTGGCCCTTTGAAGCAGGATGGATAAAGCCTAACACCTGTAGCCCAAATTATCTGCCCAAAGGCCTTCTCATTCAAGTCAAGATAGGTGGTAAAATGAGGGTGCTAAAGCCAGATGACCACTAGAGCAGCGTTCCCCAACCTTTCTGGGTTGGGGGCCTGGCATGGAGGGAGGGAGGGGAAGAAGGGATGGTTTTAGGTAAGGGGCAGGCGTGTGTGTGCCGCTGCTCACACAAGCGGGGCTGCAAGTGCCAGCACCCGCTGCTCCCTTGAGTCAAGCTGTGCACACATACCGACCCACGTAGCCCGGTTGCAATTTGGCCACGGACCGGTAGCGGCCACAGCCCACATATTGGGGATCCCTGCACCAGATGGTAGAAAAGATCCCTAAAACTCTCTCTGTTGCCATCTGGTGGTCATCTGAATGTCTGCAGTTCAGATCCTTTAGGCCAGGTAGCCATTTTCTTGTTCAAGGCTTCTTTCCACAAGCTTTGTAATGTTTCTCCAATGGGCCTTCCAGAGGTGAATACTTCAGCATGGCCATTGCTGAGAATTCTGCGAATTTCAAAGAATCTCTCTTTAAGGAAACCTAGTATAGCAGGTTATATACCTAAGGTGACCAACTTTTTTACAATGAAAAGGAGGGCACAAATAAATTGAAGAAAAAATATCGTAAATAAAAGAAACATTTTATTCATTGCAACAATAATACAGACAACTTGCATGTGCAAAGTTTGCCAGACGGGTGTTTTGGCGCGCTCAGCAGCAATTCCTATTGGCTTTTGAAAGCCAATAGGGGGAGTAGCACAGCTCATGCAAAAGTTGAAAAAAAAAAACCATCAAAAAAAGGTGCCAGAACGCCGTTCTGAGTGTTTTATGAGGGGAAAAAAAGCCCTGCAGATTAGTCTTCAAATATCGAAAAGGAGGAGATGAAGGAGGACACTTTTTGAGGGAGGACAGAACTTACAAAAGGAGGACTGTCCTCCTTAAAGGAGGACGGTTGGTCACCTTAATATACCGTAAACCATATGATAAATGGTTAAGGGAATTAGCTATGTCTAGAGCCTATAGAAGAGGAGGATTAACTGACATGATAGCTGTCTTCTGGTACTTGAGGAGCTGACACAGAAAGGAGGGGAACAATTTATTTTCCAAAGCACCTGAGGGCAGGACAAGAAGCAATGGGTGGAATCTCCTTAAAGGGAGATCCAGGTAGAATGAAGGAGGACTTTCCTGACACTGAGAACAATCAGTGGAGCAGCTCGCCTCCTAGAATTGTGGGTGCTCCATAAGTGGAGGTCTTCAAGAAAAGATTGGGTATCTATTTGTCCAGGATGCAATTAGATCTTCTTCCTTGGGTAGGGGGCTCCAAAGACCCTTCCAGCATGTTAATTCTACAATTCTAGGTGTATTTCTTCCAGGAAAGTTTCCTTACGGTTTTCTGCTCCTTAGAGAATGGACAGATCTGATCTGATCTGAGAAGGTGGAAGTTCTTGTTTGCCTCCCCCCCCCCAGGAGGCTTCCATGCTGAGGGGGCACTAGAACCTCGGTCTCCCTATTCCTAGTCCACTTCTTTCATTATTGGCTCACCTTAGCTCTTTGGCTGAGACAGTGGGGTTGGCCCAAAGTCCCCCCTGAACTTAGATCTCCCCACTCCTGGTCCAATAGCTTCACCACTAGATCATCCTGGCTCTTGAGAATTCAGTGTTACCAGGCTTTGTGAATAGATGAGGCAACCAGTTTGGTGTAGTGGTTAAGGCAGTGGTGGCAAACCTATGGCACGGGTGCCAGAGGCGGCACTCGGAGCCCTCTCTGTGGGAATACGTGCCGTTGCCCCAGCCTCGCCTCCCCCCGTGATCCCCTCCTCTTCAGCAGCCCCCCTGAAGGAGAGCCGCCCCTGAGTGTGGCCCACACGGAGCAGCGCAGCCAAGGACATGGCAGCCAGGCAGCGTAGACAAGACTCTGCCCTCACACCCCATCGTGCACAGTTGATGCTGCAGGGCGCGGGCAGAGGGCGTGACCACCATAGTGCTGCTGGGCTGCTTGGACAATCTGTGGCGGGCCCTGGAGGCGGTGAGTGGTCCTGCGGGCAGGCGGGGTGGGGATGGGGGGCAGGGCAGGGGGTGGAGCGGGGCCGAGGCCAATTTTTGGGCACTCGGTCTCTAAAAGGTTCGCCATCACTGCGTTAAGGCATCAGGCCATACACTGGGAGACCATGAGTTCTAGTCCTGCCTTAGGCAGGAAGACAGCTGGGTGACTTTAGGCCAGTCCCTCTCCCTAGCAGGAGGAAGAAGGGGAAACCACTTTTGGAAATGCTGCCAGGAAATCTACAGGGTTGGAAGGGACCTTGGAGGTCATCTAGTCCAACCCCTTGCTCAGGCAGGAAGCCCTATACCATTACGGACAAATGGCTGTCCAGTCTCTTCTTAAAAACTTCCAGCGTTGGAGCATTCACCGCTTCTAGAGGCAGGTTGTTCCACTGGTTAATTGTTCTAACTGTCAGGAATATCCATATCTTTCCTTGTGTGTAAAAGAGATCTGGTAACCCAATTCAGGAATGCTATCTTATTAAAGGTTACAAAGGTTTGCTTTAGTTTTTAGAAAGATGAACAGGCTTTCCTCTAGGGAAAATTTGACAGAAAAACTATTAAGTAAGACCCAGGGTCAAAATGGCAACAAGTGATACAATGAAATACTTTATAGCAGTATTTCTCAACCTCAGAAACTCTAAGATGGAGGTACTTCAACTCCCAGAACTCAACACATTGGCTGAGGAATTCTGGGAGTTGAAGTTCACCCATCTTAAAACTGCTGAGGTTGAGAATCACTGCTTTATAGAATAAAATAATGTCTCAATCAGATGACACTTTCTATCATTTACACACTGGTTTGGGAACAGTGGCAAGAAACAGTTTTTAGGAACGAATAACACTGGTTGCTAAGCTGAAAAAAACCACCAGATCTGAGCTGCAAATCTTCACACGACCACTAGGAAGCAGTAGAGAGAAAGAAAGTCTAACATTCTGCCATCTTAGTGGACATCTGGATTTTCACACCCCAAATATCGTATTTCTAGAGAGCGTAATTATGTATACTACTATGTGCTTTCTTCTTAAAAATAGGGCCCAGAATACAGAGCTTCCCTTTTTTTCCCTGCACCCATTACCTTTTTAACAGGGACAGAGTTCCCCATTACTCTCCATCACATACTCACCGCAGTATCCTGGTGTGCCACATACAGTTTTCATCGTATCTTGCTCATCCACAATTTTAGATAAACCAAAATCACCTGGGAGGGAAAAAAAAGAAATTGTTGTGTGTACTGATAAAAGAGAATATTTGTAGCTCAGGTTTAAACTGTAGGGTCCTTGGTGCGGTCTGAGCTTGGTTGTTTTCATTACCAAACTAAGTAACATCATCAGTGATTGCAGAGAATGGGGTTTGCTGTCATTTTATATTCTAGTAGCTCACCCTGTCAGGGTTGGTGGGAGTCATGCTGGAGATTCTTTAGTTGGGCTGTTTACTGTTAGCTTGTTTGGCTGTGTGTCATATAATATATATGGGTATATGCATAATTATGTATGTAATGTATATATATATGTATGTATTTATGTATTTATTTAGTGTATTGAAGATGGTGACCCTTTGAGAGCTATATGCAATGAAATTTCATTTTAATGTATGCCAATTAGTGTACTGTACATTCAAAGTGACAATAAAGTTATTGTTATTATTCTATTCTATTCTGTTCTGTTCTGTTCTGTTCTGTTCTATTCTTCCATTCCATACTATTCTATATTCCATTCCATTCCATTCTATTCTATTCTATTCTATTCTATTACTCCATTTCATACTATTCTATATTCCATTCCATTCCATTCGATTCTATTCTATTCCCTTAATAATAATAATAATAATAATAATAATAATAATAGTAAAGTTGGAAAGGACCTTGGAGGTCATCTAGTCCAACCCCCTGCTCAGGCAGGAAACCCTACACCATTTCAGAGAAATGACTGTTCAGTCTCTTCTTAAAAACTTCCAGTGTTGGAGCATTCACCGCTTCTTGAGGCAGGTTGTTCCACTGGTTAATTGTTCTAACTGTCAGGAAGTTTCTCCTTAGTTCTAGGTTGCTTCTCTCCTTGATTAGTTTCCACCCGTTGCTTCTTGTCCTGCCTTCAGCCGCTTTGGAAAATAGCTTGACTCCCTCTTCTTTCTGGCAGCCCCTGAGATATTGGAACACTGCTATCATGTCCCCCCTCATCCTTCTCTTCATTAAACTAGACATACCCAATTCCAGCAGCCGTTCCTTATATGCTTTAGCCTCCAGTCCCCTAATAATCTTTGTTGCTCTTCTCTGTACTCTTTCTAGAGTCTCAACATCTTTTTTACATCGTGGTGACCAAAACTGGATGCAGTATTCCAAGTGTGGCCTTACCAAGGCATTGTAAAGTGGTATTAACACTTCAAGTGATCTTGATTCTATCCCTCTGTTAATGCAGCCTAGCATTGCGTTGGCCTTTTTGGCAGCTGCAGCACACTGGGGTCCTGTTTACTTCCTGATTATTGCCCTGATGTTAATCTTGGTGTTAATCTCTGCTCACTTAGATGTTGAAGGGCACTGAAAAAAAGTGATTTACAACTGGACCTTACACTTATAATTGTCACGGCATCCACTTTGAGTGTTTGGCAACCAGAAGATATTTATTTTGGTTGTAGCATCCTAAGATCATGTGGTCACCATTTGCAAATTTTCCAGGGGGCTTCCAACAAGGGAAGCCAATGGGCGAAGCCAGATTCGCTTAATGACCATGTGAATCACTTAACAACTTCAGTGGTTTGCTTGGCAACTGTGGCACAAAAGTCACAAAAATCAACTGCAACTAACTAAATCTCCTTGCTGAGGAACGGAAATTTTGAGCCCAATTGTGGTCGCAAGTCAAGGACTACTTTATCAGTAGCTCAGGGTTGCATGGTGGAGTCCTTGGTGCTCTCTTGGCTTGGCTGATGTTCATTACCCAATGAATGACTAGGTAACATCATCAGCGTAAGAAAACCAACCAAATAAGAATCTGGAACTCCAAGAGAAAAGAATATTTATAGTTCAGGATTCAGCTATGGCAGGGGTCTTCAAACTTGGCAACTTTAAGGCTTGTGGACTTCAGCTCCCAGAATTCCTCAGCCAGCCAGGCTGGCTGGCTGAGGAATTCTGGGAGCTAAAGTCCATAAGTCTTAAAGTTGCCAAGTTTGAAGATCACTGTGTTATGGAGCCCTTGATGCTCTCTCTTTGATGCTCTCTGAGCTTAATTATATTCTTGCAGACGTTTCATTACCCAACTAGGGAACATCATCAGTGCTGCTGATGTTACCTAGTTGGGCAATGAAATGACTGCAAGAAAACCACCAGACTGAGAGAGATCAAGGACCCCATAGATATTCTTTGTGGGATGAATTTTAGATCGATTACGATTGATTCTTAAGCCGTCTCCCACCCCTTGAGACTCAGTTGGGATTTGGCTCTCTGGTCCGCACTAAATTATTCCTGTATATTAAAATCATAGTAATTGACAGACTCATGCAGCATGTTACTGATATTTTGTTCTGAGCTATAGTAATTATTTGCCAGGAAAGAATGCTATGTCATTCTACTTAGAGCAGAAAATATTGTTAATTCTAATATAGATACCAGTAGTCCTTGACTTATGATCACAACTGATGATCACAACAGATTTTTGTTGCTAAGTGAGACAATTGTTAAATGAGTTTTGCCCCATTTTACGACTTTTCTTGCCACAGTTGTTAAGTGAATCACTACCCTTATTAAATTAGTAACATGGTTGTTAAGGGCATCTGGCCTCCCCATTGACTTTGCTTGTCGGAAAGTTGGAAAAGGTGATCACATGGCCCGGGGCACTGCGACTCAAAAATATCAGTCAGCTGCCAAGCATCTGAATTTTGACCACATGATCCTGGGAATGCTGTAACAGTTATAATTGTGAAAAATAGTCAGTGATGTTGTAACTTCGAACAGTCACTAAACAAACTGCTGTAAGTCGTGGTGGTTCTGCATGTATGTATGCTGTTCAATTAGTCAACCCTTAATTTAAGGTATAATCTGGGGTAAGACCCATTTCTACCAAACATCTGTTAAATTCAAAATCCTGTCATTTGTGTAAGCTGCATAATGAAATTATAACGCAAATCATGTAAATTTACACAAATGTCACATCAGATAACATCTTACAAAATGTATCATAAATTCTTTTTTTTTTTTTGCTTTGGATCAAATGATTTATATCCTTCATATCAGTTTACCTCAAATGACATGAATTGATGCAAAGGACATAATTTGCGAGGTCTGCAAAATGATATCCTCACGCAATTGATGTTAATTGCCACAGTGGTGTATTTTTTCCACCTAGTGCAGTGGTTCTCAACCTTTCTAATGCCGCGACCCCATAATACAGTTCCCCATGTTGTGGTGACCCCCAACCACTTATACATCACCAGGTGCCAGGGGCATGGACAAAGAAAAGGGGGGGAAATGGCGGACAGCCTTGTTTGGCGACCCCCATGAAATGGTCGTTTGACCCCAAATGGGGTCCCGACCCACAGGTTGAGAACCACTGACCTAGTGGTTCTTTGCGAACAATGGATACCTGTCCCCCACCCTTAGTCTGTTAAAATAAGATTTCACTATATAATATTTTCTGTTTACTTCTTCCCAAACATACCAATTTTGAGTGGCGCATCGGGGGAGAGATCTGCGTAGAGAAGATTTTCTGGTTTGAGGTCACGGTGGACGACTCCATTTGAATGCAAATACTAAAAGAGACAAAGATAGAAAAACATGCGACATTTTGTAGTAAAAAGTCCCTTACTTCTGTATGCTGTCAAAAAGAATTCCTTTGGAGCAAGCAAATTAATTATTTCTTATTTATTTAATATATTTAATCAAGTTAACTTATTTAATATATTTAATCAAGCCACCTCATATGACAAAGTAACTTTAAGTGGCATTTGATGGCATTTCACAGTTTTCTGACTCGTGGCATTTGTGTACCACCACTTAAAACTACCATGTATAGATAGTCCTCAACTTACAACAGTGATTGCTCAAAGTTACAACAACAGAACTGAAAAAAGTGACTTATGACCTTCTTTCACTGTTACGACCTTAGCAGCATCCCCATGAGCATATGATCAAAATTCAGATGCTTGGTAACTGATTCATATTTATGACCGCTGCTGGGTCTCAAGATCATGGGATCACCTTTTGCGACTATCTGACAAGCAAAGTCAATGGGGAAGCCAGATTCACTAAACAAGTGTGATACTAACTTAACAACAGTGGTGATTCACTTAGCAACTGAGGTAAGAAAAGTTGTAAAATGGGGCAAAACTCACTTAACAAAGCTCTCACTTAACAACTGAAATTTTGGGCTCAATTGTGGACATAAGTCAAGGACTACTTATATTAATACAGATAGGCCTCGGTAATATGGATGTGACATATTTTCATGTTTGGTGGAATTGTAAAAAGGTAAAGGCTTTTTGGATTATGATTTGGTAGAACATTCAAAAGATTTTTAAAAGGAAGATAAAGTTCACCCCTCAATTATTCCTATTGGGTATCTTTGTGGATTTAAATGACAAAGAAACTACTTTAATGTTGAATTTATTAACTGCAGTAAGGTTATTAGTAGGCTCGTATTGGAAGAAGGACTCGTTGCCTACTTTAGAAGAATGGATATTTAAAGTTTCTAACTTTGCAGAAATGGCAAAAATTTCTGCTTATTTGAAGGATCATAAACAAGAAAGATATATTATTGTATGGAGAAGATGGATAGATTATATTCAGAAAAAATATGGTACTATAAAGTTTCATTTATTTTATGAGTAAATTTTATAGTAACTGTTGTAGAGATTTGTTTATATGTCTTAATTTAAGGGGAGTTAAAGGTTAAGTATGATGTTTTTTTTTCTTTTTTCTTTCCCCCACTTTTTTTAATTATTGTTAACCTTCTTATTAATAACCCTGTACTCTGCTCTGGGAAGCGAGGGGGGGAGGGTTGAGGGTGGGTGGGTGGGTGAGTGGGTGGGTGAGTGGGTGGGTAATGATAATATAGTCATGGCAAATGCTTGGGCATTTCCCCTATGCTGCGTTCATTTGGGTGAGAGGGATGAGAGGGGAGGAAGGAGTATGGAGGAAGTAGGATGGTTAGAGGAGATGGGGAGGGGAAGAGAGTAGGAGGGGAGGAGAGAAAGAGGAGGGAAGTATGGAAGGTTTAGAGAGGGTGGACGCAGCCTGGGGGGAATGGGCAGGCGGTACCAATGGTTAATTGTATTTTGTATGAATAAATGGAAAATAAAAACTTTTTTAATAATAATAATAAAAAATACAGATAGGCCTCGACTTATGATCACATAAGAACTTCTGTCATTAAATAATGTACATGTTGCCCAATTTTACTACTTTTTTTGTCACAGTCATTAAATGAATCCACCATCCCCCATTTACTATGATTCTCAGGAGCCTCTGAGAGGGTCACAAAGGGCAATTATGTGGCCCTGGGACAATACAAACATCATAAATGCATGCCAGTTGCCAAGTGCCCAAATTTTGATCATGTGATGCAGGGATGCGGCAATGGATTTTTTTTTCAGCGCCATCATAATTTTGAATGGTTGTTAAATGAATCATCATAAGTCAGGGACTATTTGCAGCAGCATTCCAATGTATATCAATAAGGTGTCACAAATACTGAGGCTTTTCAAGCCTAGTGTACCATTATTTGGTATCTTATCTTAACAGTCAACACAGTGCTAGGCTGCATTAACAGAGGAATAGAATCAAGATCACGTGAAGTATTAATACCACTTTACAAGGCCTTGGTAAAGCCACACTTGGAATACTGCATCCAGTTTTGGTCACCACGATGTAAAAAAGATGTTGAGACTCTAGAAAGAGTGAAGAGAAGAACAACAAAGATGATCAGGGGGCTGGAGGCTAAAACATATAAGGAACAGTTGATGGAATTAGGTATGTCCAGTTTAATGAAAAGAAGGACGAGGGGGGACATGATAGCAGTCTTCCAGTATCTCAGGGGCTGCCCCAAAGAAGAGGAGTCAAGCTATTCTCCAAAGTGCCTGAACGCAGGAAAGAAGGAACGGATGGAAATCAAGGAGAGAAACAACCTAGAACTAAGGAGAAACTTCCTGACAGTTAGAACAATTAACAAGTGGAACAATCTGCCTCCAGAAGCGGTGAATGCTCCAACACTGGATGTTTTTAAGAAGAGACTGGACAGCCATTTGTCTGAAATGATATAGGGTCTCCTGCCTGAACATGGGGTTGGACTAGTTGACCTCCAAGGTCCCTTCCAACTTTGACAATGTTCTGTTGTGTTCTAAATTTATTAGCTTGCATCAATGCTATCTGCATTCTGTTCAGGATAGTTATAGCCTTGTTTCTGAATCATTAAGATAAAATCCAGCTTTTATTCAAATAAACGTCTAAGTTCCTAAGCAATTGGAGGACCTTATTTATTTCAATTGCCAATTTCTTTTTATCTTCTTGTATCTCCCAAATCATTAATAAAGACAAATATATTCACAGATTACACCGGAACCCCAAACTGATCAAATGATAGGCAGTTCTTCACTCGTGCTGTGAACAAATGATAGAAGCAATTCTAGGCCCGAGAACAAATTATAGGAACAAAATACATTCTCTGCTATTGAAATTATGGGCAGAAAGTGCATGGAAGCTGCTTCTGATTAAAAACGGCAGGGAACCCTTTGTTGGATTATTTCTGAATAATTCTGAATAAATATTATATCAGGAGTTGAACCACTGCAACAGCACATTGCTCTGTGCTGTTGTTTGGCTGGCTGGGGAATTCTGGGAGTCCACAGGTCTTAAAAGTGACCAAGGACGGACATCCCTGTCTTGCATCCCAACTGTTCTTTTCATTCACTCAGCTGTTAAGATCTCTCATCATTTGACAGCCTTTCTTTCCCAGCCCAGAGCGATGGAGCCAAATTCTCACTTTTGCACAAAGCTAACGATGGACTACTTTTGTATTTGAATGTCTCTCATATTTTAAAACCCCCTGGTTGCCTTGGAAACCATCTTCCCTGACCTTTAGTACTGCGAAACAGCGGCCTACTAATGTTCCCTCTAAGAATTATAGATTTCTTTCTTGTTCTTTTATGCAGTGCTGAAATTTAGACCGCAGGAAAGAGCTTAATGCCAAATACACGCTACCACTTCTTTCCCTGCTTGTCCCTGTTTTTTAAGCGGCTTCTCTTCGGGAGCAATTCCTCAGGGGCCGGGAGGGAGGAGGCTGAATACCAAATATGGAATTGTTTGCATTTCAAAGGATTCGGGAATGTTATTTATGAAATTCGTGCCGAATAGAATTACACATAGAATTAAGAACGTCCCTTAAGGGGGTGTCATTCCAAACCAAGATTAATGTATGATTTGCAAGGTGAAGCCAGCCACCTTCTCCCTGCTTGTGAATTATTCTCTCCAACCTCTGTTGCTGGCAGCTTCCACATTCACAAAGCTCAAATAATAATAACAATAATAATAATAATAGTAGTAATAATAATAATAATAATAACAACAACAACAGTAGTAATAATAATAATAATAATAATAATAATAATAATAAAGTAATAGTAATAGTAGTAAAGTTGGAAGGGACGTTGGAGGTCATCTAGTCCAACCCCCTGCTCAGGCAGGAAACCCTACACCATTTCGGACAAATAGCTGTCCAGTCTCTTCTTAAAAACTTCCAGTTTTGGAGCATTCACAGCTTCTGGAGGCAGGTAGTTCCACTGATTAATTGTTCTAACTGTCAGGTTCTCCTTAGTTCCAGGTTTCTTCTCTCCTTGGTTAGTTTCCATCCGTTGCTTCTTGTCCTGCTGTCAGGCGCTTTGGAAAATAGCTTAACTGCCTTTCTTTGGGGCAGCCCCTGAGATATTGTCCCCCCTCGTCCTTCTCTTCATTAGACTAGACATACCCAATTCCAGCAACCATTCCTCATATGTTTTAGCTTCCAGTCCCCTGATCATCTTTGTTGCTCTTCTCTGCACTCTTTCTAGAGTCTCAACTTTCAGTCTCTACTTTCAGACATTGGTTGAACGAGCTGTAACTTGGTTGGTTAATCTGTCAAATAAACAACTACAGGACGTTCTCAATTTCCATTCATTTAGTGACTATTTGAAGTTACAATGGCACTGGAAAAAGTGACTTATGATCATTTTTCACACTTACAACTGTTGCAGCATGACCAAAATTTAAATGCTTGGCAAATGGCGGGTATTTATAATGTCAGTTGCAGTTTCCTGTGATCCCCTTTAGCGACCTTCTGACAAGCAAAGTCAATGGGGAAGCCAGATTCACTTAACAACCGTGTTACCAACTGAACAATGGTGGAAACAAAAGTCGTACGATGGGGCAAAGCTCACCTAACAACTGTCTTGATTGCCAACAGAAATTTGGGGCTAAACTGTGGTCGTAAGTCGAGGTCTACCTGTGTTAATTAGACTTAAAACAACACTGCACCGGTAATCCATGAATTACGACTGTAATGGAGGCCGCCCATTACAATAATAAATCGTGATGGTTGGAAAATGGGTCACCCACATCACCAACCCAATTTTACAACTTTTTTGCAGCAGCTGTAAAGTGAACAGTGCATTCAGTAAGCAAAGCCATGGCTTACTACAGGGTGTTTTTATCAAAAACAAGAAGCAAATGCCTATCTTTGGCAAAAAGATTGTAAATGTATTTTTACAGCTGTAAATGCAGAATAGTTGCTGAATACCTAAAATGTGATCATATGACTGTGGGGGGAGGGGCCCTGCCATCAGAACTAGGTTATAAGTTGTAATGATTTGTTGTAATATCAAGGAGTCACTAAGCGACTGGTTATAACCTGAGGACTACTTGTAAATCATGATTTTTCAAATCACATCAATCGCAATAAATGTTTTACTGTGATTTTTGAATCTGTTCTAGTATTTCCTTTCTGCTCCAATTTATTCCTCAGGTCTGTTCTTTAGCCTAGAAAAAGTTTGCCTGTAACACGCTGGATCTATCGCTTCTTTGATGGTGCAAAATAGAGAAAGGATCACCTGATGGCCTACTTTCCTTCTCGATTCTACTGCTGTGATGTATGTAAAAGAGTTAGGGCTAGAACAGCCATAGGCCACTCCCTTACTCTCCATGTTAATTACCCCCAAGACTATTACCAATGGCTCAGAAAATTGCAATTCATTTTGAGGTCAATTCTTGTTCATCTCTCTCTCACACATAACACTTCCTGATTTGCCTGCATTTTATTCTGTTTTGCCAGTTTTTTTTTTTAAGAAAAAACAATCTTTGCTGATGTTTTATAAATATCCCTCAAGCTCTATTTTGGCTTGCTGAACTGAGTGCGCATGTGCTCACTGTGATCTGAATGTAGCGATCGACTGGGTGTGCGCTGAGGGCAAAATAAATTGGAAATCACCCATAGTAATTTTCCAAGACAGCACTCAGTCGCAACCAAATCCCAGGGGAAATTGTGCAGCTAAGTATTCTCCTAGATGGGTATATTGGGTGCACTAGCTTTGTTGTTAATTGCGAAGTCGTGTCCGACCCATCGCGACCCCATGGACAATGTTCCTCCAGGTCTTCCTGTTCTCTACCATCTTCTGGAGTGCATTTAAGCTCATGCCTACTGCTTCAGTGACTCCATCCAGCCACCTCCTTCTCTGTCGTCCCCTTCTTCTCTTGCCCTCCATCTTTCCCAGCATCAGGCTCTTCTCCAGTGAGTCCTTCCTTCTCATTAGGTGGCCAAAGTACTTGAGTTTCAACTTCAGGATCTGGCCTTCTCAAGAGCAGTCAGGGTTGATCTCCTCTAGGACTGACCCGTTTGATCGCCTTGCAGACCAGGGGACTCGCAGGAGTCTTCTCCAGCACCATAGTTCAAAGCCCTCAATTCTTTGGCGCTCAGCCTTTCTTATGGTCCAACTTTCACAGCCATACATTGCAACTGGGAAAACTATGGCCTTGACTATAAATATTTTTGTTGGCAGAGTGATGTCTTAACTCAGAGCAAAACTATTCAGAGATAGTCCTCGACTTAATGACCACAATTGAGAGCAGAATTTCCATTACAAAGCAAAATAGTTATTAAGTGAGTATGTCCAATTTCTACGACTTTTTTTGTCACAGTTGCTAAGCATGTTACTGCAGTTGTTAAGTGAATCATGAGGTCATTAAGCAAATCCAGCTTCTCCCGCTTTTACCTTTCAGAAGCTGGCCAGGAAGGTCACAAAGGCGCCAGGATGCGGCATGACCCTAGGATGCGTCAACCATCAAGAATACATGCCGGTTGCCGAGCATGTATTTGGATCATGTGTGTGAGGATCGGTTGTAAGACTTTGTGAGAAAAAGTCCTAAGTCACTTTTTTCAGTGTCACTATAACTTTGAACAGTCACTAAATCAGGGTCTTCAAACTTGGCCCTTTTATGACTTGTGGACTTCAACTCCCAGAATTCCTCAGCCAGCATGCCTGGCTGAGGAATTCTGGGAGTTGAAGTCCACAAGTCATAAAAGGGCCAAGTTTGAAGACGCCTGCACTAAATGAATGTTGTAAGTCAAGAACTGCTTGTAAAGGCGGAGAGAAAATTCCAGGGGTTGATAGAAGAGGGCCTCAATTAGATGGGAAATTTATTCTTCATTTGTAGTTATTGAAGGAACAGCTGGTTGTTAGTGACTGAGGGGAAAAAATATTCACCCTGCCTTATTGAGATCCTACTTTCTCAATCAGCCTTGTGAAACTACAATAAAAATATTGTGCACATTAGTATATATAAATAGAATGTCAATAGATTTTAGAGATAGGTAGTAGTAATAACAACAATAACAATAAAGTTGGAAGGGACCTTGGAGGTCATCTAGCCCAAACCCTTGCTTAGACAAATGGCTGTCCAGTCTCTTCTTAAAAACTTCCAATGTTGGAGCATTCACCACTTCTGGAGGCAGGTTGTTCCACTGGTTAAATTGTTCTAACTGTCCTTGAGTTACGACCACAACTGAACCCAAAATTTATGTTGCTAAATTTATGTTTGTTAAGTAAGTTTTGCCCCATTTTACAACTTTTCTTGCCACAGTTGTTAAGTAAATCATTGCACTAGTTAACTTAGGAACACCGTTGTTAAGTGGCTTCCCCATTGACTTTGCTTGTCAGCTCATAAACGCGGATCATATGACCCAGGGACACTGCAGCCATCATAAATATGAACTAGTTGCTAAGCATCTGAATTTGGATCATGTGACCATGGGGACACTGCAACCGTCGTTTATAAAAAATGAGCATAAGTCACTTTTTTAGTGCTGTTGTAACTTTGAACGGTCACTAAATAAACTGTTGTAAGTTGAGGACTACCTATAGATTAAAATAAGGTATATGTTAAATAAAACTTTTTTCTCTCGCAGCCAAACTCATAGTCCCTAAGACAGGGGTACAAGTGGATTTGAGAGTGCTAGTGGACTCGGGGTGTTCCCGGTGCATGATCAGCTTGCCACTTGCCCTTAAGATGGGTATACGGGCAAGATTGCTCTTCAAGCCTGTGAGATTTCATCTGTCGGAACCATGACACTGCAAGGGGAATTCTGGGAGCTGAACTCCACACATCTTAAAGTTGCTGAGGCTGAGAAACACTGACGTAAATGATCCCCTTTTTCATCTTTACTTTCTTTTTCTCTGCATCGCTCCCTTTCTTTCAGTGCCAATTATTATTGGAATTATCTTTGCTTTCTTCTGCCATAATTGTTCTATTTTTCTTTGCAAGTCTTTCTATTTTGTCATTGTCTCCAGTTCTTTCTCCTCTGTTCTGCTATGTGCACTATTTATTAGTCTTACTACCAACGTAGGGAAACTACTGGTTATAAGTTGCTGATTTCAGAGCACTGAGAAGGGCAGCTTTCAAAGATAATAATAATTGAATGTTGAAAAAAACGAAATCATAACTTCAAAAAATGAAGTACACACACTAACCTCCCACCATCTGAGGGGCACCCTTGCATAAATCCATGAAAAGCAGATACCTCAATTGTGTGCCTGCCTACAAAATTCCAGTTACAGAAAAGGTGCCTTTGAAAGGTGGCAAAATTTATGTTTCCGTTTCCTTGGCAACCAAAATTCTACCCTCCAAAACAGATGCAAGGACAAGAGTCTAGAAAAAGGAAGGCAACATTCAAATGGCTTACGGAGACAGCTTCCAGGATCTGTTTCACCACGTGGGCTGCATCCCTTTCGCTGTAGAATCCCCTCTCTACAATCCTGCGGAGATGAAACAGCATGCAGATTTATTTATTTTTTTTAAAAATGTATTTTTTCATCCTGCACAGCCAGCCTGACTGCCAACCTGTAAATCTGCTTTGGGGGGGGGGGGAATGCTTAAAATAAATAAGCTGGTGGTTGTACTGGTTTCTTTTCTGTTGCTTTAACGCAGTGTTTCTCAACCTTGACCATTTTAAGGCATGTGGACTTCAACTCCCAGAATTCCACAGCCAGCAATGCTGGCTGTGGAATTCTGGGAGTTGAAGTCCACATGCCTTAAAATGGTCAAGGTTCAGAAACACTGCAACGTGTGTTACAAGGAGGAGGAGGCTGGGAGCTTTTGCAGCAGAGATAGCAGGAATGGCAGGTTGCTAGGCAACCAGAGCATTCCTTTTCTTGGTGGATGCAAAAGGGAGAAGGCCGCAGGGGTTGCTAGGCAATTCATCCACACATTCACTCCTCCCTGGCTCTCTGTCTTTGCTGCCATCTAGAAGTCACCCAAAGTATCGCAGCCCAGATTTGTTCATGCTCGTAACTTGTGAGCATCTGCAGTAGTTTGTGGGAAAGGCCTTGGGCAAAAGGAAGGAAAGGCCTTGGGAGACAGAAGGGAAAGGCCTTAGGACAGTGATGGCGAACCTTTTAGAGACCGAGTGCCCAAACTGCAACCCCAAACCCACTCATGCATCGCCAGGTGCCAGGTGAGTGTGGCCCATTGGGTGGGTGTGGCCCATTGAGTGGGTGTGGCTGCGGTGGTAACGGCAGACTGGATGGGACTAAAAAGTTCAACCAATCAATTTCAGCTTTGCAAGATCTTTTTTCCCCCACAAGAAATTGAAATTGACTGATTGATTGAACCTTTTTTTTTTTTTTGCACACGGCGGCAGAGGCCTAAAGTGAAAAAGTTTTATAAAACCCCGCCGAAGGCCTAGGACTGGGGCGACGGCGCGGGTGCCCACAGAGAGGGCTCCGAGTGCCGCCTCTGGCACCCGTGCCATAGGTTCACCACCACTGCCTTAGGAGATAGAAGGAAAGATCTTGGGAGCAGAAGGAAAAGACTGTAGGAGACAGACGGGAAAGGCTCTGAAAAATAGCAGGAAAAGGCCTTGGAAGGCAGAAGGGAACATCTTGGGGGCAGAAGGCAACATCTTGGGGGCAGAAGGAAAAGGCCCTGGGAGACAGAAGGGAAAGATTTTGGGAGACAGGAAGGAAAGGCCTCAAAAGATAGGGCAAGGGTAGGCAACCTTGGCTCTTTTATGACTCGTGGACTTCAACTCCCAGAATTCCTGAGCCAGCATGGCTCAGCATGGCAACTCTCCCTTTCCCCTCAGCATGGCTGGCTCAGGAATTCTGGGAATTAAAGTCCACGAGTCATAAAAGAACCAAGGTTGCCTATCCCTGGTTTAGGGAGATAGAAGGGAAAGACCTGGACAGATGAAGAGAAATGTCTTGGGAGACAGAAGCAAAGGCATTATGAGACAGAAGGGAAAGGCCTTGGGAGAAAGAAGAGCTGCAGACTAGATAAACCAACCGGCAAAGGTATAATAATAATAATAAAGTTGGAAGGGACCTTGGGGGTCATCTAATCCAACCCCCACAGATCGCAGCCCACAGACAGAGGGAGGGCATAAAAAGCTTCTCAGAAGGGACCCTCCCTAGTTATTTGCAGAGTAAAAGGAAAGGAAGGGAGAAATATTTTTAGACTTGCAAGATTCTATTCATATAACCTTACAATAAAGATAAGAGTTGGTATTCACTGTTGTGCTTCTTGTCTGGACTACCTCTCAAAGAGCTAACAGCACCACATATTTAAAAGGGGGGCTGGGGGCTTTATGACTTGATTTTTTTTATCCTCCCCCCCTCAGGGTGTCCCTTTGTACAGTGAAAGATTCACAGAAAATGAAAGGAAGCCCATTTTTTAGAAAAGGGGAATTTTTTTTGCTTAGCAGGATATTTTTTTTTTCAAATTCCCTATCTATTCTAGAGCCCTGATTTCCTGTTGGTCTCCTATCCATAACTAACCAGGCTTGATCTCAAGTAGCTTTCCAAAATCTACCAAAATCAGGCTTGAAGGGAAAAAGAAACCCTTTCTTTGCTTATATATCCTATTGCTTATATATCCTATTCATAATCTCTAGTAATGACTAGATATTCATGGAAGTTTACCTGGCTTCTTAAACAATTATTCAGTAACTTGGCCTCCTGCCCCAAAGTGTCTGACTAATTCTATTCCTCTTGATATCAGCCAATTCATACTTTCATTTCATGCCTGGTTTGCAATGGCCATTCTCAGACATCATGATTAATTCCCCATCCCAATGGGTCACGGCCATCCATCGTATTTATTTTCCAAGAAGGACTCTAGGTTGTAGATGAAGCAAAAGCTGTTTGAAAACACAGACAGTGCTAGAATCTCTCATTTCCCTTTGCAATTGGTCATTTCCCCTTTAGCTCTGTTGGTAAAAAAAAAAAAACTAAAACAAATTTAAACAAATTAAAGTAAGGTCAATCAAGGAAGCCTGGCTGGTGCAGGCACATTTATGTCCATCAATTCTAAAAAATTAACTATCTCCATTTTCAGCAAGAGCTGAAGCCAGAAAAGCAGAAGGCAAGGCTAAGGAAACTGGAGCCTAGAACAGTGGTTCTCAACCTTTTAATGCCGCGACCCCCCAACCGGTCGTAAGTCGAGGACTACTCAACCGGTCGTAAGTCGAGGACTACTCAACTGGCGCAGCACCGTTTGCAGAATGGGACTTTTGGCGGGCTCAGCAGGGCAGAGACAGCCTGGACGATTCCTATTGGCTTTTGAAAGCCAATAGAATTAGACTCTATTCAAGAGAGTCTATTCTATTGGCTTTCAAAAGCCAATAGAATAAAAGGGAGTAGCACAGCTAAGGAAAAGGGGGGGAAAAATGGCGGACTGCGTTGTTTGGCGACCCCCATGAAATGGTCGTTCGACCCCAAATGGGGTCCCGACCCACAGGTTGAGAACCACTGGCCCAGAGACTCTGTACTGATTGTTGTGAATTAACTCAATCACCTTTTCTGTGTCTCAAACACATCTTTTCCCCATGGCAACAAATTACTCTCCTACCCTTTGTTCAGTTAGTCATCTTTAATTAAGAATCTGCCAATTAAGCCAAGGTTTCTCCTGTGTTACCTGTCAAACAGCTCACCACCTGTCACCAACTCAAGGATGAGTGTGATCTCTGTGGGGGTTTCAAAGATGTCTTTGAGTTTGATCTAAAAGCAAATAGGAAGAAATAGAAAAGGATGAATAACTTTGATCTAAAGCAGTGGTTCTCAACCTTTTTAATGCCGCAACCCCCAACCGGTCGTAAGTTGAGGAATACTCAACTGGTCATAAGTCGAGGACTACTCAACTGGTGCAGCACCGTTTGTAGAATGGGACTTTTGGCGGGCTCAGCAGGGCAGAAACAGCCTGGACAATTCCTATTGGCTTTTGAAAGCTAATAGAATTAGACTCTATTCAAGAGAGTCTATTCTATTGGCTTTCAAAAGCCAATAGAATAAAAGGGAGTAGCACAGCTAAGGAAAAGGGGGAAAAAATGGCGGACTGCGTTGTTTGGCGACCCCCGTGAAATGGGCGTTCGACCCCAAATGGAGTCCCGACCCACAGGTTGAGAACCACTGATCTAAAGCTTTGCAGAAATGAGGAAAAAGCCATGGAAATTCCAAACATTCACACTTTTTTGCACGCCCATCTGCACAAACATAATTTAAAACTGTCCATTCTAAGATATTGTGCAGATTTGCAAGATTTAGAAAGAAACCTCAATCTTCTTGATTTTATGACATTATATGCATCAATTATTAGAGGTTGACAAATCTTTTGAGGTTTATTAATTTGGCAAGTATATTATGCCCATTGAGTTGAAATTAAGAATAATTTCAAAACTGTACTAAAATCTCTATCCATATTACAGGTAGGCCTCGACTTACAATCCCAACTGGGACTAGAGTTTCCATTGCTAAGCAAAGGTGGTTATAAGTGAATCGCACCTGATTTTACA